GCCTTAAGTTCATCATCCAGAACGCAAACTCGGATGATCTACGCATGCTACGAGGCAAGACCATCGAGTGCGTAAGCTTGATAGGATTAGCGGTGGGCCGTGAGAAGTTCATAGCCGATGCCGGAGAGATCATGGATATGCTACTGGTCAATCACACCGAGGGAGGAGAGTTGGCTGATGACGATCCGCAGACCTCCTATTTGATCACTGCCTGGGCCCGCATGTGCAAGATCCTCGGCAAGCAATTCGAGCAATATCTGCCCGTCGTGATGGGTCCCGTGATGCGAACGGCCACCATGAAGCCTGAGGTGGCGATGCTGGACAACGACGAGGTGGAGGATATCGAGGGTGATGTGGACTGGTCTTTCATTAATCTTGGGGAGCAGCAAAACTTTGCGATTCGCACTGCTGGCATGGATGACAAGGCTTCAGCCTGTGAGATGCTGGTATGTTATGCTAGGGAACTTAAGGAAGGATTTGCCGAATACGCCGAGGAGGTGGTGCGTCAAATGCTACCCATGCTTAAGTTCTATTTCCACGACGGTGTCCGCACAGCGGCTGCCGAGTCGTTGCCTTACCTTTTGGACTGCGCAAAGATCAAGGGTCCGCAGTATCTAGAGGGCATGTGGCTGTTCATTTGCCCGGAGCTGCTTAAGGTGATCAACACGGAACCGGAACCGGAAGTGCAGTCGGAACTGCTCAACTCATTGGCCAAATGCATTGAGACCCTGGGACCTAATTGCCTTAACGAGGATGCCATGAAGCAGGTTTTGGAGATTATCAACAAGTATGTTTTGGAGCATTTTGAGCGGGCTGATAAGCGATTGGCGGCCCGAAACGAGGAGGACTACGACGACGGCGTGGAAGAGGAGTTGGCCGAGCAGGACGATACTGATGTCTACATTCTTTCCAAAATCGTGGATATTACACATGCCCTCTTCCAGACGAACAAGGCTCAGTTCTTGCCCGCCTTTGAACAGGTGGCCCCGCACTTCGTCAAGCTGCTGGAGCCCAGCCGATCTGTGGCCGACCGCCAGTGGGGTCTTTGCGTGTTTGATGATTTGATCGGTAAGTTTTTTTGTTTATTGTATTACGTGAGGTTTAGTCATAGTTCGACTATATCCGTACAGGACACTTTTCATCACCTAACGTTTTACAAAATCGATCTCAAAGAATCTGAAGATACACTTTTTGGAACATTTTACAAATGTCAAAAGAATAGAAAAAAAAAGCAAATGAAAAAACGAATAAACGTACTAATGAAATATACAAATAATTCATATTTTACCCGTTACTCGAGTTTAGTTTTTTATGAAAAGTTTCCAGTTTAGGGTTAGAAATCCTTTCGCAATTATTAAAGTTTAGACGAGGATTTTTTTGTCAACCAGTTAAAACTAGAAATTTCTTAGGTCTTGGAATATGCTACGATTATTTATTCATATTAAAACAAAATATTTTGTTGGTTTTTATATTTTTAAGACTTACAGACGAAACTTTTTTTATTACATTATTTGCAGAATTTTGTGGACCCGCTTGTGCTCCATACCAGCAGATCTTTACGCCTGCCCTGCTGCAATACGTTGGCGACAAATCCCCGGAAGTGCGCCAGGCTGCCGCCTACGGATGCGGAGTGCTCGGCCAGTTCGCCGGCGAGCAGTTCGCACTCACGTGCGCCCAGATCATTCCACTCCTGGTTCAGGTCATAAACGATCCCAAGTCCCGCGAAATTGAGAACATCAATGCGACGGAGAATGCAATCTCGGCGTTTGCTAAGATCCTGATGTACAACAAGTCGGCGTTGACTAACGTGGACGAGTTGATCGCGGCATGGTTTTCTTGGCTGCCAGTTTCCGAGGACCCAGAGGAGGCCGCCCACATCTATGGCTATATGTGCGACCTGATGAGGGCAATCACCCAGTAATCCTCGGGGCCAATAACTGCAATCTTCCGCGTATCGTCTCCATCATCGCTGAAGCCTTCTGCACCAAGGTTATAGAGGCGCAGAGCGCCACGGGCACACGCATGCTCACCATTGTCAAGCAGGTGGAATCCAATCCTGATGTGATGGCCGCATGTGCCAGCACTCTCAGTCCAGAACAGCAACAGGCTCTGCAGGACGCCTACCGGGAGTTGGCGAACGTGGCAACCGCCTAGAGCATCGAAAACCCACTGTTCTCCAGACCTAATCCAGTCCTGGCGACCTTGGCAAGGAGGAAAGGATGGAAGCTTGAGCTACTCGTTATCATTATATTTCATCTGACCGAAATTGTCGTCGCAAATGCATTATAAACTATACGTTTAAATTTACATACACGCATACTTATATTTATGTGTACGATAGAGTTATCCGGGTATATAATTCTATATATATTGTGATTTCAATCAAAAGAACTTCTCCCGAAGACAAAAGTCTGCTCCTCATTAGAATTTGACATGTTGTTTGGATCGCATCCCAAGGCCATCACAATCATACACAAATTCCAATAGATTATTTTCGTTACTCATTTTTTCATATGTTTTTCATATGTGTGTATATTCGGCCCGCACGGCCGCCTCCTCTCCCTGAAAACAAAAAAACAGGATGTAAACGTTGTCCGAATCAAACGAAATGTAATTTTGTGCATTCGAAACAAGATCCACAAAAATATTTAAAGGAATAACATTTATTGTATTTTAAAAATGATAAAAAGAACGAAATAAATAACACGTAAAACGAAATTTTAATTGATATGGTGTCTGGGTTTTTATATTTTTTCGCAGGTGTGACCATATGTTGTTTCTAAGACGGAAACATACAGTTTCATGGAAGAAACATAGTTAAACAAGTGCAAGAAAACTGGCTCATGCTATCTTAAATAGTTTTGAATGAAAAATGGCAGGTGAAAGGGAACTGTAAGGTTGGGGAATTGAATTAAAATTTTCAAAAAATGTGAGCGATTGCTTTTCAAGTAACTGTCGAATTATATCATTAAAACAAATAATAGCACATCTACTTATATTTTGAAGTTGTCTGAAAAATGAAATGATTAAAAACTTAAGTTGTCTTAACTAACAATGTAGACTGATTTAGTCTAAAGGGCCCTAATAAGCGGCTGATGTAGACGGGTTCTGTTCGAGACTCGTCTTAGATTCCTAGCGAGATTGTTTGGGTGCAGTGTAAGTTTGTTATGGAAGGCCGCTTTCATCTTTAACCTGCTATATGTCAAGATCCCGGTGGATATTTTGTAGTTCCAACGTACCATGGCACCCCGTGATTGTTCGCAAGATTCTTTTATTGTGAGAGCTTTATATCAACGTTGCTGTTGCTCGCGTTCCCCCAAGCTGGGAGCCGTAAGTCCAAATGGGCTTAAGGGTGGAATTGTAGAGCAGAATTTATAATCCAGTGTAGGCTACTAGCTTTAAGTTTGAGATGTTCTTTTTTGCATTCAATGTGTCTCCGCCAGGTTAATAATAGCACCACTAACACAACCCATTTTTAAACAAGGAAGAACGCTATAGTCGAGTACCTCGACTATCAGATACCCGTTACTCAGCTAAAGGGACCAAAGGGAAATGGAGATATGCAAGCAGCAAAGCGAGATTAAAATGAGCCACCTACCGGCGGTAGACAGATTTAAGCGTTATGGGCGTTAGACTGGGCGTGGCAATCTTTTTTTGATCAATCGATAGGTATTGACGAGACCAATACATTTCAGTTAAAATATCTGCTGGTGGGCGTCACAGAATTTCGCGGTTTGTGGGCGTTAAAGTGAGCGTAGCAAACTTTTTTTTGGGTCAATCGATAGGTATTGATGAGAACAATACACTTCAGCTAAATTTTTATTCTAGCATCAAAACTGTAGGAGCCACAGGTTTGGGCGGTTTGTGGGCGTTAGAGTGGGGTACCGCTGAAACAAACTTGCGCTGTGTAAGAAGCTCAGGAATCTACACGCCAAATCTCAGTAGCCTAGCTCCCATAGTTTCCGAGATCTCAGCGTTCATCCGGACAGACAGACAGACGGGAACTAACGGGACAGTTGGACAGACGGACAGACAAACATGGCTAGCATCGGACTCGGGGCGAGTGGATCCTGATCCAAGAATATATATACTTTATGGGGGTCGGGAAACGGCTTCCTTCTGCCTGTTATACTTTGAGTAGATCTGTGTTATAGGTTCTACTCAAGTAACTTTACGTAACTGGCAGTAATCTTATAAATTTATGCACAAGGTTTTCAAGCCGGTCAAACGCTTCAGAGACTTCGAGGAACATCGCACTACAACATTCCCGATGAAAGGCTATTCGAATTTCTGATGTTATCCGGTTTTCCTGCTCGATAGTTTCGTGCCTTTCTCGGAACCCTAAAGGATGAGCTCTTAGATATGCGGTGAGAAGGCATTTTTCTAATAATTTGGACAATAATAAACTAATTGCCCCGTACGATGAGGGAATTGTGTGGTCTTTCCCAGGCTTCGGTAGTACCCATGTTTTGTGATAGCTCTTATAGTTTCCGAGAACTCAGCGTTCATACGGACAGACGGACGGACATGGCTAGATCGACTCGGCTAGTGATCCTGATCAAGAATATATATACTTTATGGGATCGGAAAAGCTTCCTTCTACATGTTACATACTTTCCGACGAATCTAGTATACCCTTTTGCTCTGAGTAACGGTATAAAAATAATTTTTTTTGTGGGGCAAGCTTTAAATTTGTTTAAAATGTTGCTTTTTTTATTTTTGGGAATTTATAAAACTAGTGTCTTTAAATTGTAATTTTAATTTAAATCGGATTACTATACCAGGAGATATAGATGTTTACAATATTTTTGAAATTTACTTTTTTTAAAAACTTAAATTGTTAACTGAAATATATTTTTTTGACCCAAATCCTTACAAGAGTGTGCACGTAAAAAGTTTCAGGCAAAGGAAATATTTGTCCCAAAAAAGATTCGGTTTGTAAAAGAACGGCAGCCCTCTGTCGTACAAAAGAGAACAATTCCGAACGTGCAAAGGTCTCCTAAACAGCTGATGCAATAATAAGCCAACCAAAACAAAAATGCAAAAATCTCAAAACATTCCAATACTCGAATAGAAACACACACGTTTTGACAAGTTATTAACGAATATAAGTTTCCGTAAAGATATAAAACCGGATGTTCGACTTAATACGTAGGTCTGGCAATCGTCAAATCGAAGACCATGAGTTTTGATGGCATAGTGATGACTTAGAGGGCAAAGTGCACTCTGATCCGTATCATTCGCACCGACCTTCGCAGCGAATCTCAGTCTGACTAAACCCAAAGGCAAGTGCTACAGGTGGGCGGGAAAAATCCGCTAGCAAGGCAGAAAAGCGGAAACAATTTCGTTGGCCACAATTTAATTTTGGGCAGCTGCCCCACTCAATTTCGGTAAAGGGGAGGATGGACAGGCTGTCTGTTGACCAATTTGATGACGCATTTCTGATTTGAAAGGCGGCCCTTTAGTCGGTTTTGGTTGCCCGCCATGTCAGGATGAATCTCTGTCATCAAGTGGGTTTCAATATCGCCTTTCGGTGTATATCTTCTGGAGATTTTTATTGAGACACTAGTTTACAAAATAATATTTTGAAAATGCCACAAGTGTAACTTGCGTGTAACAACAATATCTTAAGAAAGTAGTCTCCTTTTTGGTGATTCAGGGGTTCAACTCTACCAGGAACTAGCATCATCCCTCCTGGGGCATTTTGGCTGTACTAAAATATATTGAAGATTTTTCGAATGAATCAAAATTGGATAGTTCGATACGAAACCGAATAAGAATAACAAGACTCTCCACTTTAAAGATACTAATTATTAATAAAAATAATAAGTAAAATTACAATTGTCTCGAGTTATTGTTTAGAAGTCTAACCCTATCGTTTGTTTAACCTTCCTTAGATATTAAAAGCCGTAATGGCGGAGGAGAACGAGTTCCTGAACGCCTACGCCGGCATTAAAGCAGCGTACCAAGCAGCCATGACTCAAGTGGAGCTGGCCATTAACCACGAGGAGCAGGAATCCAAAGGACAGGCGATTGAGGCTTACGAACTCGCCCTGAAAATGATAGATGACACCTTCGTAATTCCAGTAGGTCTTCCCGATGAGATTGATGCCGTGCAGACCGAGTGGAACGATGCCTGTGTGCTGATCCAAAAACTGAAGAGCGCCAAAACGGAAGTCAGCTACCGTCTAAAGGTTTTGCGGTCCCAGAACCAACCTGTGGACGATACAGCTCTGGAGGCCATTGAGGGAAGCCGATCTGAGATGGATGGTAACAGGCCATTGCTGGCAGAAAACCCCTCCACGCACTACGATGTATCCAATGCTAGTGGAAGACCAAAAACTTACAGGGAACTAGCTGTCGGGTTGAGGGAGCTTTTGGCTGTTTCGGACTCGCATGCCTTGCTGGATGAGCTTTTCCGTGCCCAGGTGAAAATGTACCGGATTGAAGCCAATGGAACAGTTAATTCTATTAATGGATCGTCCACTATGTCGTTGGTCATGTGCACCGTCGGTGGTGAATGGAAGTTCCTCAGTGGTATTTGCTTCATTCAGTGCTCCATGCCTAATGAGGAGACTGGCATGATTTGGCTGTACCCCCTGGTTCCCTCGATCACAAACTGCTATCGCACAGAGTATGGAGCCATCATCCTTCCTGATATGGAGTGCCAGCAGCCGGGAAATGCGTTTGGCTTAATCCTAACGAAGGAAGGCCAGCCTTCGTTGAGTTCGGAGGAAGAATTGCAAGACCTGCAGCAGTTCTTCCTGGACTTGTTGGAGGCTGTACTCGCTGGTACGGTGGAGCAGTTGAAGTCGCCGACCTCCCAACGTGCTGGCTTAGCTTCAGATACTGTTTCCGGGTCGGAGCAGGTCTCCAGACACATTGTGAGTGCGGCCGATTTCATTGCTCGTAACATGGTGAAGGGCGCCGAAAAGACAGGAGGTCTTATGCTCAGAAGTACGCCGTATCTTATTTCCAAGATGTCGCCCGCCTCGGCCGACGCTCCCACTCAGGTGCCCAGCTCTGTGCAGACTTCCGGTTAGTCAATTTAAAAATGCAAACAAAATGTAAGAAGTGTTTGGTGAATTATGTCTAACCTCGCTCTTCTCTGTAGTGGAGGTGGCCCAAAAAGTGACCCATGCTGCGGCCGGGATGACAGGGTGGATAGCTGGAAAGGTGGGCTCTGCGTCAATGGCAGTGGGTCGCTACTTGGCTCCTCACATCCAGGAGCAGGGGTCTAAGTTATTGCAGAAGGGATTCGGCTACGACAGCAACGAAGCGAATAGCACCATGGACGGAGCCTTGACTATCGCAGCTGGAGCCGTTGAAGGTGTCAGCACCGTATTCGATGGCCTTGAGACGTCTGCCAAGATCCTCGGGTGCAGTCTCAGCCAAAACTCGGTCAAGATAATTGAACACAAGTGAGTTAGCAAGAATACTTGTTAAGGCAGGGCTCGAAAACATTTTTCCTTGGAACTTTTTGTCGTATACCGACTACAATTAAGAGTTTGTAATGTAATAACACGTCTTTACTTTTTCGAAAGTATTCTTTAAAATTTTTTGGTATTTCCAAACATGATTTTAACTTAAAAAAAAAATTTACCTACAACCTTTGAAATGGTACATGATAAATACAATACTCGCATAGTGAAATACCGTCATTTAACAGTTTTTAACTGTATGTGTACAATTTCAGATACGGTCAGCCGGCAGGAAATCTAGCCAGTGGAACTTTTGACACGGTGGGCAATGTTTTTGTGGTTAGCCAAAACGTGAACTACATAACTCCAAAGGGCATTGCCAAGAAAATGGTCAAACGAACTGGAGAAGCCGTGGTGAGCGACTACAAAAGAGACTTACGCAAATCGGAATCTCATTATATAAATGCCGGTGCTCTCTATCCGGATCTTCGGGCTTTGAAGGAATGAGTGCCGCATTACCAAAGATATTTAACATACATTGTAACTGCTGATATTGACATACTGATATGGAATGTGAATCTCTTTTATTGAAGATCCTCCAAATTTTTCTCAATATGCAACATAAAACAACTATTAAAATTTAGCGAATATTTTTGTTATGGGTATGGGCAAGTACCGGTTATTTTGTTAATAAACAATAATTGGTTTGATTAAATTACGCATGTCGAAATTGTGTGGACTAAATATATACGCTACAAAATCTAAATGGATTTTACGTGCAGATTACGACCCCAAACTTAAAAACTTGTCATCATGTCACAGTTTTAAGAAATCACGGTTAAGTACCAAATTTTCCATTTTTATACCCGTTACTCGTAGAGTAAAAAGGTATACTAGATTCGTCGGAAAGTATGTAACAGGAAGAAGGAAGCGTTTCAGGATTACTAGCCGAGTCGATCTAGCCATGTCCATCTGTCTTGGGATATTCTTGGGCTTCCGCCCACTCTAACGCCCATAACGCTAAAACCCGCCTAACACCCACATTTTGTAATATTTTTGAAAATTTAAAAAGAGATCTTGTTATTTTAAAAGTCCATCTACATGCCAAAAATTGTTCAATTTGGACCATTCATTAAAATGTTATAAGCAAATACTGCTTGTACATATACAGTTGCGGGGGAGGGTCCAGCATCATGGCGTGGGGTTGCTTTTCGTATTACGGAGTCGGTCCTATACATTGCATTAGAATCTAATTTAAATTTAAATTTTAAATCAAACCACGTCTACTTCACTTGTAGATTTCAAATAATATTTTAATTAATATAATTTTCTTCTCCTTTTTTTATTTTTTTGTCTTCTCGTTCTTCAGTTCCTAAACTTTTATTAAGCTAAAAAAATTCCATATTTTTCAGTCAAGGCGCCATGTTCTTCCTCTTCTGGCAGCACCAACCTCTTTTCTAACGTTTTCTAACAGCGGCAGAGGATTTTTCTCTGCCGCTGCTCTACCACTGTTACTAAACGTGCAAGTGTTTCAGTCGACTTCCGCAAGAGGTCGCTAGAATCCTTATATCTGTATAATGCATGTAAAATCTGACCCGCCATTCTGCATAGCAACAACTCTAGGCAAGCTGGAAGTTTTTATTAATATTGAATTAAGTCGATTTTTTAATATTTAAAATGGTAAATACATCTGAGCTAAGCACCAAAGTAAGATACGAAATTGTGGCGTGTTTTCGTACAAAACATCGCTAAGGAATATAATTTGTCTCGTCAGACCATTTATTATCAAATCAATAAGTACAAAAAAATTAGTGATGTGATCAATTTTCTCCGTAAAGGCAGAAATCGAAAGACAGGAGTTGAGGGAGATCGTCTAATCGTCCGTGCTTTTAAGAAGGAACCTCTAAAAACACCAAAGACGGTGTACTTGGAGTGGAATGAGACTGAATCTACTTCCATAAGTGAAAGAACAATACGCAGGCGTATGATTGAAGCAAATATAAAAACATATATTGCAAGGCCAATACCCTTTATCACCCAAAAAATAAACTAAAGCGTTTCGAGTTTGCAAAAAGGTACATTACCAAGCCCGCTTCATTTTGGCGCAATGTACTGTGGACTGATGAGAGTAGTTTTGAATTCCATGCCTTCTCCTGTGTGTTAAAGAGTAAGCCATGGGAGTGGAAGCGTTTGTTCTGGGGTTCAGTTTCCTATAATGGTGTGGAGACTTGGTTCATATCGACGGATCCATGAACCAGATACGATATTTAGATACCTTAAGCAACTATGCGCTTCCTCCGGCGACAGATTAATAGAAAAGGAATTTATTTTCCTTGCCATAATGCCAAAATGATTACTAGGTTTTTAAGAGATGGACTGACCACAAAGTCCTGACTTAAACATTATTGAAAATGTGTGGTCGCTAATAAAGCGAAATAGAAGCTTGATCTAACCAGGACAAAAGCAGAAACCATTACTGAGGTCACAATGAACTGGAAAGATATTCCTTTAAAATATCACCTGTCCCGTTCCAAATCGCCTCCAAAAGGTAATAGACACCAAAGGAGCGTATATTTTTTATTAATTTCCAGTTTTAAAAAATTTTTGAATGTATTATAAGCCGAAAAAATGTCAAAATACCACCCTTGAAATTGCGTTGTTTTTAGTTGTAATTAAATAAAAAAACCGAAATCAATGTTGAAAATGAAAAATTGTTATATATATAATTTAATACATTGTAACTAAATGAATTATGTACAATCTATAAATATTTTTGTCTTTAAAATAAGTACAAATTGAAAAAGAAACTGAGGCATCGCCATGACAAAAAATAAAACAAGGAAGAACGCTATAGTCGAGTACCCCGACTATCAGGTACCCGTTACTCAGCTAAAGGGACCAAAGGAAAATGGAAATTTGCAAGCAGCAAAGCGAGATTGAAATGCGCCACCTACCGGCGATAGACAGATTGAAGCGTTATGGGCGTTAGAGTGGGCGTGGAAATTTTTTTTTGGATCAATCGATAGGTATTGACGGGACCAATACATTTCAGTTAAAATTGTTTATCTAGCATGAAAATTGTGGGCGCCACAGGTTTGGGCGGTTTGTGGGCGTTAAAGTGGGCGTGGCAAACTTTTTTTTGGGTCAATCGATAGGTTTTGATGAGAACAATACATTTCAGTTAAAATTTTTATTCTAGCATCAAAACTGTAGGAGCCACCATTTTGGCCGGCTTGTGGGCGTTAGAGTGGGCGTGGCACATTGCTGAAACAAACTTGCGCTGCGTAAGAAGCAATCGTAAGTAAGAAGCAATCTGCACGCTAAATCTCAATAGCCTAGCTCTAGCCTAGCTTCCGAGATCTCATCGTTAATCCGTACAAACAGACAGACGGACATGGCTAGATCGACTCGGCTAGTGATCCTGATCAAGAATATATATACTTTATGGGGTCGGAAACGCTTCCTTCTGTCTGTTACATACTTTCCGACGAATATAGTATACCTCTTTACTCTACGAGTAACGGGTGTAAAAATTGCTAAGTGTATGAAGCCGGAGTTCCTATACAAAACTAATAGTCTAGCTAAAATTTGCAGTTCCTCAATTAATGTTGGGAAATAGCCTACTCTGATTTAAAACTCAGCTTTAAAAACAATGAGAAAAACACAGGTATATTGAACTGCAGCGTGACGAATGTAAAAAACTTAGAAGAGTATTTAGTTAGTAGATCGTATAATACATTTACGCCACAAAAGTTGATAGCAGAACTTTCGTTTGTTGAAGCTGCGATCGTCATTTTTACCTCGTTAAGAGGTGTTTTTGCTTGATATCCAAAGTTTTTGTTTTAAGCATCAATCATATAATTAATTTACTTTCCCAAAAGCCGTACAGTTCAAGTTTCTTAATGATTCCATGACCCTAAAATAGCGTTTGGATACGGACGTACAAAATTCAATGTTTTACAAAGTTGAGGAATCTCAGGACTATACAGTTTAAAGTTTAACCCAAAATTTTAAAAAAAAGTATAAATAAAAAAAGTTTGCCCATAATTTTTAAAGGATGGTATTTAGACAAATCATGGTAGAAAGGCGTACAAAGTATTTCTAGTACCTTTCTAACGACATATAGCTCAAGAATGTAGCTTTAGAAATCCACAAGTTACGGGTGTACGAAATTTAGCTATTTATAGCTGTAATCCCGCCAAGCAAGCGAGTTTTTCCAAAAGTGGTAAAACTAAAGATTCGTACACTGGTCGGCATAAGTATTTTGACAAAACAAAAGTTAGATATACTCATAATTTGAACTTACTTCTTGTAAACTTTGGCATCAATGGAGAGGTAATTTAAATGCCGTTTGAATGATACAATACATTTCTTAACCCATTCAGTACTTATTAAAAGGATGAATTTGTGTAAACATATACTTTTTAAACTTTTTTCCTCGACTTGAAAACTTAAAATTTTTGATTCAAAAAGATTCTTCAAACAAAAATAATAGTAACTGCAAAAAGAATTTTTCAAAAATCATTTTGCTTATATTTATTATGATTTTTTGAAGGTGACAATGACGGAAAAAAAGAAAAATATGGCTCAAATTCATGTTTCTAAACATTTTCAAAAAATCATTTAACAGCCGGGGTATTTATTACCACCGCCCCGAACAGATCAAATTTTCTACATTTTCACTTTAACACTTTCACCGCTCTTTCTCCCAAACCAATTGTTCCTTTTAAGGTCTTGGTATGAAATTTTAGTTTTTGCAATACCTTTCGATTGATTTATCACTCGAAACAATCGGACGATTACAGTAGATTTTCATTTCTTCGTGTATATATAGTAGTCGCCTTCGCACACCCTCCTGGTGCGTTTCGTCATTACGTGGACACAATTCCCTAATTTTTTACATTAGTTGGTTTGGCAATGTTGCTTAGAATCTCTTAAAGACTACGTTCCCCCTATACGATTTGTCACTTTTTTCAGCCCCATACAAATCGACCCGCCCTAATCGGAATATTAATGTCAAAATAATACAAAGACCGTTATATTTCGTTTTCGGTAAACATATACGGTAGTGAATTGAAATGGAACATTATCTTAACATTTCTGTAATTACTTATTAGTTTTTGAAAACCCGAGGCTAGCTTCCTTTCTCGTTTAGATTGAAAAAAAACTCGAACTCCAATTTCTTGCAATATAAGACCGATGGCCGTGAAAATGGTCAGAAAAAATACTAGCTCGAACACGCCGATCACTTTAAGACTGATTATAAGCTTAGGGACGAGTGTTTCTTCTTAAAATTTTGGGATTCCAGTAATTGTACAAACTTATAATAAGTCTTAAATTGTTGGCCGTTGTCGGGTTAGTATTTTTTCTAACACACCTAGCCTTAGCGCCACCGATCTTCTTCTTGTATTTAATGAGAGTTTGTTCTATTATCATCTACATGTCATATTGGTCAGACCAGTCAATAAAACTTATAACCATATATATCATATTTGAAAAATCAGATTGCACCATTGCAGCAATAGCTGTTTCACTATATCCTCGCAGTTGGTGAACCAATGTTCAATATTGATTATTATATGGTTATAAGTATTTATTGACTGGTCTGACTTCAATATTTTTGACATGTAGATGATAATAAGAACAAACTCTCATTTAAATTTTTACAAAATGTTAAAAATGTGGACGCTAGCGGTCTTAGTGTTATAGTCGTTTGTGGGCGTGGTACCCTGATGAAACAAACTTGCACTGCGCAAGAAGCCGAAGAATCTGCATGCCAAGTCCCAACACTCTAGTTCTTATAGTTTCCGAAATCTCGTTCATATGACGACGGACATGGCTAGATCGACTTGGCAGTGATGCTGATAAGAATATTTATACTTTATGCGTCGAAACGTTTCCTTCCTTTTACTATACGAGTAACGGGTATAATAACAATGAATATAATGTTAAAAGAATAAAGATTTATGGAATAAAAAAGAAAAATCAAAAAAAATTATTAGAAAATGATTTTTTGGTAAAACTTTTTATAATTACGATCCCTGATAAAACACATCACCTAAATTGGCTAAGCTCAACTCGAGATATAATAAGAGCACAGAGATACTAGCAAAGATTTCTTAAGAAAATCTTATATTAACTTTGTTTTGTTGACTTCTTTTTTGTGATCTAGGTGTCCAACTCTACCAGGAACTACCGTTATCCTTTTTGAGGCATTTCGCTTACTTACTGAGCCAGACATCCTTACAAGCTAATCCTCTTGGTCTTAAGAATTCGCGTTTATTGAAAAATGATTAAACATGAAACCAACCACTTTACCCAGCGATCCACACAATCCATAGCTATATTAGTTAGTCCCACACAATGTTGTTTAAACTTAGCCTTTTCTTTTCACTGGGAAAATATTGAACATTTTTCGAATATCATTATTTTTAGGAAAACTAAATTTCTGCAAATTTGACTAAAATATGTCGAATGGTTACTTAACACGAAATCAGGTGTGCAAGATAACGGAATTTTCCAAAGATTATAAAAATTGTTTTTTTAGCTCGAGAACACCGAAAGCTGATCTCGAGTCCACCAAAAACATACTAAAAATACCAAACATGGCCTCAGCACTTTTAGTGGTGTGGAAAAAACATCGGTGTATCGATGATACTATCGATTGTTCTTCAAAACCCAGCGTATGTCGTCCCCCCGGAACTGGCCACACTATACCGTTCGTTTTGAAATTACAAATACATGTCGTCGGCAGTTCGTTTTTCCACTCGGTCGCAGCTGCAGCTTATTTTTGAACTCGGCGCGCAAATACATATTACCCGAGCGCTTTTTCGTGATTCCGGCCCTTGGCACGGTAAATACCTTGTGCTGGTCTTGGAGTCTTGAATTTTATTTTGCGTACGACGCACCGGGTTTTAAGTTAAATCGCACTGGAGACGGTGTGCAATTGCACCTGTGCAGTGGAAATTTGTGAATTCAGTCGCGGTCCAATTATCGTTTGTGTGTGGGAGAGGGGTGTCTGTTTGTGTGTGAGTGAGTTAGTGCCGTATTATTTTCGATTTTGACGGGAAATGTGAACGGAAAAGTGAATAATACTCACTAGCCGCAGTTGTTGCACTTACGACACAGAAAAAGAGTTTTTCTCGCTCAAAAATACCAGTTTAAACAACTACCTAAGCAACAACAACTGCCATGAACGGCCAACAGCAAAAGCAACAACAGTTCTAACAACAGTACACTAACAAACACGTTTTCCATTTTATTTTTCTACCTCGCGTTTGCTGGTGTGTGTGTGGGAGTGATGCTGTGTGTGTACGTGTTGCTCATCTGAGTGTAGAAATTTCTAATGATTTTGTATGCGTTCCCGAAAAGCAGCTCCGAACAACAACATCAACATTGGACTCCAGACTCCGTAAAGCCCGTCTTATAATTTGTTCAAAATTATTTGCATGTCTTAATTAATTTTAAAACAACCAACAACTGCAGTCGCTGCAATAGTTCAATAAGGAAAAAGCAAAACCGACATCACCGATCCGATTTGTTTGGTGAGTATTTTTGAAAAAATTTTTGTTTTTGATTAATTAATATTAATTACATATTTTTAGATTTTAGTCAAAAAAAGTCTTAAGTAAAAATACATACATAAATTAAAATATACTATTATTAGCCATTTTCAATTAAATTTGGCCTTTCAATTAATCACTATATTAATAGTTACATGATTTTTACTGATTTCAAATAATTTGGATGACTTTAAAGACATTACCACTTTTTCGAAGAAATGCAAGAAACCATTTACTAAAATAAGACTATCTTTAAAAAATGTCAAGCTAACAGATCTAGTTAAAATAAATATTTTATGTTACTTACCTTTTTTTTAAAAATCATGTTTCACGAAAAAAATACTTTTTCATATGTATACTATTTTGGTTATCTTTATTTATCTATTTTGGTCGCGAATTCTTAAGATTTCTTTGTTCTCTTGTAAAAGAATTTCAAATCTGTGTATTTTTCTATGAAAATAAAGATTGTACGATCTGCTAATAACGCTATATATTATATAATTGTCAAATAATTTGTACAATATTCAAGACAAATATAGCGGTCATGCCCCACACCCGCAAATACAATATCGACAAAATCATCCGATTTGTGAGGACTGTAAACTAGATTTTTAAAACTTTCTTATACAAACAAAAAAAGTGAGTGTGTCAAGTAGAAGAGAATTTATCTTTAAGTTGGATGAGATCACATAGGGCAGCTTTCCCAACGTGATCATTACAATACAGGTTCTACGGAAATATAGCAATATGGACTCCGAACTTACTAGCCGAATTTTCAGAAATAAATTAAACACAAAAAAAAACGGACTTTTAAAGTTGTAGTTAAGTTTTTAATTCCAATGTCCTTCCTTTAAAAAGAGACAGCCACATTGAAACATAACTCTTTTGATTTCATTTGGGTTGCCTTTGGCGTGCTGTATCCATTTACCTGATGCAACAATAGCAGCAAAATATCATTGTGATAACCAGGACTAGGGAAATTACCTCAAGTAACATCCTTGGACCTGGGTCTGGAAACTCCGGTGCATCGTGGGTGTGGGAGGTATTGGTCCGAAGTGGTGGGATAGAGCTTGAGTTATTCATTCTTTCGATCCGTTTGGAGATTTGTTGCTTTTGCAGTTTTGTTTAAAACTCTTTTCACACCTTTGACATACGTCTCTGTGTTGACTTTGTAAGTCTTACTTTTCACTATGCAAGCCAAAATTTTCTCACTGATCAAACTTGCAGCATTAAGGGGTCTAGTCATTTATTTCATATCATCATTATCGTCATCACCTGAGCTACAGGTTTTTAGCTAATAAGGCAATGGCGAAAAGACGAAGAAAAAATTGTTAAATTATAATCGAAAGAAAAAATCCATCATTGGAAAGTTGATTTGATTGCATTTGCGGAATGCAGCTGCCAGGGTTGCCTAGTTGTGCGACAGGGCGACGCATTTTTCGCTAGCCGTGCACTTGGCTAATATTTCAGGCTTCATGCTTCATTTGCTTTTCGAGCGGCCCAAGTCAACTTTCTGAACAGAGGGCGAGGGCGATTGGATGCGATTGGATCGGATGGGTCGTACAGTATGGAATTGGATGTGATGGGATGGGAGAAAGGCATTCGAAAGGGCTGGAATGCATTACACACTCGTCAAAGGCCTCTCAGCTCAGTTATGTGGATTTCCTACCTTGCTATGAGATCTTTAAGCAGAGTTAGTTCCGTTTCGATCTCTCCTAACTTGAGTTGATATTTCCTTGAAAATATTACTCAACAAGAAAAAATTTGGGTTTTTATAATCCATGGTTTTAAAGGTACATTTTAATTTAATTATTAATTTAGGAAGTTTAATTAATACATCAGAAATGTATTAAATAAATCCCCGTCAAGGGTCCAATTATTCCTTATATCACTTTATAACAAGTAATAATTTTTTAAGTGTAGGGAAGTGGATTTCAAAGATATCTTTTACTTGTACCACCCACAAAAAAGATAATAAATCGCTTTGGGTGACAGTGGCTGGAACATTTTGGCTGCAATTGGCAGGGCAAGCGGAAAATGTTGCGTGGGAGCAGAGAAGTGCGGGGACGTTACACAATTATCCAAAGCATATTCCCAAGTAAATGAAATTGTTCATCCCACTCACATAAAAATCAATTCTTCTCCCCATTCACCCCACTACACGAAGACGAATTTAAGACATTATATTAAAAAATGTTACATTTTTAGGGAATGGCTATAAAAAATAGTTTGAAATTTCAAGGTGTTTCCAAAATGGCCTAAAACACAAACCAAAACTATTGGCTAGACAAATATGATTCATGACCTAAGAAAATGAATTCTTTTAAGTGTATTTGCCTCTTTTCTTGGCGTCGGTTATTTTCCTTACCGTCTGTTTTTCGCCGAGTCTTTCCGCTGCCGTTTTGTTTATGCTTTTCCCATCTTATTGTTTTTGCGCGCCTCGTGCGTCAATTTATGTGAGTTCAGTTCGCCTGCAAGACGGAAGCGCTTTTAATGATACAAATAATAGTAGCTGTAGCGGCAGCTGGAAAAACTGAGGAAAAAAGGGTGTCCCGGCAGCTTTTTGCATTTTCCCTCACCAACGCTGAAAACTGTCCGTGGAAAATTGGCGCCGCCGCAACTGCCCAAATGCCGCCGCTGTTCAAAACTGGTTTGCCGCATAATTTCCAAAGTTGCAATTTTCATTTTTTATGGCCATTTGTCTTGGAGCTGTTTTGTCTGTTTATTTTTTGTTTTTCAGTTGAAAGTGTTTGCAATGCCTGTTAAGGCAGATTTGGAGCTCCCCGGTTTTGCTTCTCCTTGCTGGCTCATTTTGTTTGCCGTTGAGGTAATCAGAATTACATAAAGGGAAACATTTCGTTTTCATTTAATATTTTAAGTTTGTCAGTTTTTTGTTCGATTATGACCCCGTTATCTAAGATAATCTTATTTTTTCCAGTAAGTTTAACTTTCCAATTCCTTTTTGTAACAGTTTGCTGTTACTAAAATTGTATTTAGGCGAATTTAACAATTTTGATATTTAAAGAGTGAAAAATGATATAAGGCTAAACCCTACCCTTTCTGGGATCCGGGAGCTTGTATCCGATTTCATAACATTGCTGCTTTAGTCCGGCTCTTTCATAATCTACCAAAAGCACTTGTCACCGCCATCTGGCCCGGCAACTTCCACTGGGCCACCCATATGGGCCCAGTTTGGGCTCGCCGCCTACCTGTTCCACCACCGAACACAAGTGACACTTGTGCAATTATTGTAAAAAATGTTATTGTCCACTCTGGGAAGCCAGTGTGTGTGCATTGAAGAACCCCTTGGACAGGTTGTTCACTGAAACGAATGGCTGTTTTATGCCGGGCTCTTCATGTCTGGCTATGCCGACGTAGCGCTTAAACAATGGAGCGTATTTTGTGAAAATTCTCTGTGCGGAGCGGTGGCTGGTCCAGCTTATTAACTTACCTGTTATTTCAACCATTTTCGTTTTCACACGCACGCAGGTCTGGAAAATGGGAAATGCACTTGCCTGTGGATTAGTTCGCCCTCGCCTGAGTTTCTTTGTTCCGGCCGCTCCTGCTTTTTTCAATGAGCGGAAATGCCGCAGGGTCTGATTTCTTTTCAGACGTACAGCGAAAAAGTACTGAAAAGAATTTCATGTAATAAAAATATTTGCTTTTATCATTTTAAAATAATATCATATATTTAAAAAAATTATTTGATTTAATTACCCATTAACATACATAGATATTGAAAAGGGTATTAAAATTGTGTTTTCCTTACTTGTCAAAAATAAAATACTGAAAGTACTTATTCTTATTTGTTTTGTATACTAGTTTACAATTTTTTTTCAGTGTGCCTTATACTTTTCGACCTAAACCGGGGACTTAAAAAGAGAGCTCTTTATTTTAGGTCCCTACTGATTTTAGATCTAGGGCGCTCACAGTTTGAGCGAGGTATCCTATCAGATTCTAGTAAATTGACGGCGCCCGATGAGTATTTATTAGTTTGTGTTTGTGAGTTTACCCTATAATTAAAATGCAACCTGATTGTTAATATGGGTTCGGGTTGATCTGCTTATCATTAATGCGCTATTACTTTCAAAGCTGGGATTAGTGCGTCGCCTTGAGAAAATATGTTTATAATTTGTCTGTCTGTTTGGTTTTAATGACTTCGAATGTGTGTTTTGTCGGAGCGCAGAATGTAATAACGACTTTTGGCAGTTAAATAAATCCAATACCAGGGGATTCCACAAATTGAAAAATGCAATTGCGTAATCATTTTTATTGTCGGTCCAACTCCTCACGGACAATTGTCAAACATGGTTGGTTTTAATTTCAACAGCCCGCACTCACAGGATACATTCCTACACACAAAAAAATGCTGGTTAAATTGACCAATATAATACTTAAATAGGCCCTCCCATCGAATGGGCAATGACCCATGAAATAGTTGCTGTTACGTAATACGTTAACGTAGGGGTTAATGTAAAAATAGTTATGCAACCATAAAAAGGGCAGAATGGGTCATATCGATCGATTGTAGTTAAATAACTATTTTTATGTTATCCTACCAATTAAATATAGTTAGCGAACTATTTTTAAAGTAAATAAATGTAAAATTGATCAAATGATTTATTAAATTGAACTCACTGATACGTCATTGTAGCATAATATTTTATAAGTAAAGTAAAATTAAAGTCTTTTGTATGGAAGATGATGTGTAACTATTTTTGACAGTTACTCTGGCATTAAAAAATTACACTCATCACATGAACGTTACTATGTTAATTGTAGTTTAACTACTAAAAAGTTAACAAGGAAAAACGAGTAGACACGTAACTATTTTCAATAGTAAAGTACTACTTTGTATAGTTACAGAACTATTTGCATTGGTCAATATGACCAAGAACATTTTGTTGTGTAGTATACATTCACATAAACGTTCATACAGATGTGTGAGAGCTCTATTTAAAATGTATGTACAAGATTATATAAAATACAAACTGTTGACCTAGCCCCAAGAGCACTGCCAGAATTAATTGCCACAGGAATTGTTGTATGTATAACGCTCAAAAGTTGAGAGTTTGTGCTTGTATACAAACGCGTTTACATACTGGTTCTGTATACGACTACCAGTGGCATTTTAACAGTGCTTTTAAAGCGAGAAAACACACTGCGACACAAATGGCTTGCTTTCGAATTGTGAATTTAAAATGAATGTGTGTAGATATGTTTAAGTTGTGGAGGTTCAACACTAGCTAGATGAATCATTTTAGGGCCACACTTCGCATCCAAAAGCGTCCTATCCCAACCCCACCCCTGTTAGCCCTTAACAGTCGGCTGCTAACTTTGGACTGAGCTCGGATACAACAGCTGTTCCCCGTTGGGGGCGTCGCTCCCGAAGGGAAACGAGTGCAATAAAGTTATGTACCCACTCTCGGCCCCACACCATCCAGCTTTACGGACTGCCATTGCAACAGAGTCGACAGCTTGTGACCTATATAAAATTGAATTCATGTACACATATAGGTATACCTACAGATATGGCAAAGTTTTAGGAGCCCAACAAATGTCCTAAGTATGTATATAAATGGCTTTCCATGTTCCTGTATACCCAACTTCAGGTCGGGAATATGTCGGCTTTGGCTCCTATCAGTAGGCCCGAATGCCTTCCGCCCCGGAAAATGGCTCAGTTCTTTTTGCGGTCTTAACGCGTCAGGATGGGCCCAGGGATATATGTCGGTTCTGTTTGGAATAAATGAGGGAAAACTCGTGCATTTTTAATATTTGACGGCATACAGCCAGGTGGAAGCCAGTTTATAAAGGAAATAACTGTGAAGAGCTGTAAAGATGCGAAAGTGTGCGCGGTGTGCGAAACCTCTTTAAAGGTACTTGATACCAAGTAAATATTTAGTATTTCCTTTGGCAGGCCCTGTCTGGGGTTATCTTTGTTCTATACCTACTCCGCCTACCTTTGTTTCTGCGGTCTTATTTATATATTGCAATTATTCACACCTAGCAACCTTCAGTCTTATCAGCCGCATATATAGAATTTTCACTCGGGCGTTCTCCGGCTTGTCCAGCGACCCACATATGCAAATAAGGAGCTCTGATTGCACCGAGAACTGCGCCGCAATCAGATTTTATTTGCGTAAGGAACGAGAGAGGGCGCTTGATTAGAGTCAACAGAGGAGACGCGCTAGACATATGGGGACTGAGTCCATATATAACGCAGCGTCAACGGTTATCAGCAATTATCAGAGAATCGTAAAGTTGTATGTTTATTTAGCGGCACATCGCCCCAGGCGCTCCTCTCAGGTGAACTGAACCGTTCTCTGTTTACCTTTCTGCAACCAATTAAGTTTTCATTTACTTTTTAATTTAGGCTTTTCTTAATAAAGTCAATATTGCCTAATGTTGAGTTCAAAGTGAGAGCAAATGCCCGATAAATTTAGCAGAGATTGTAAGAGAATGTATTCACGTTTTTATAGGAATATAAACGTAAAGTTCCCAAACGACGATTTGCAATTTTGTGGGTCAATTAACTGGTCGAGTCTCATTTTACACAATTCCGTAATGTAAATCAGGCTGAATATTTGTTGTGTGCCTGCACCTATGATAAGTTAACGCAATTTGTTTTACTATCTATATCGCATAGCCTCGTAATCATGTTTTGGCGCTATCTTAAACTGATTTCCTAAAATATTTCTTATTTTCATTATGGCCCATAAGTTCGCCGATATTCTATGTAGCTTCAGTTAAAAGCAGGGGGATCTACTTCAAATGACCAAGAGAAGAGATGCAATAATCAAATCAAGTCGTATGATCGATAAATACAAAACTTCCGCCACTTTTGCGTAGTTAATGAATTGAATGTTGGCCTAAACGGTCAGCCACACCATTATTCCTGCTGGTCTTATTCCGCTGCTGTGAAGGTCAAACAGAACGTGGGGTTGGGGGTCACATGTCAAAGTCGATTTAGGGCAATCGTCAAACCTGATCTCCCCAGAGACCTTCGCGTTCAGGTTTTCGGTACTTTATCTCGTCTCCAGCTGCCATGTTAATTATCGCATAATTTTTAGGCCTGTCGCATGCCTTTTTCTTTTATTTCAGTTTACAATTTTTGATAAATGGGCTCAAGTTACATCACAGTTCCGGTGAACAGTGACCGATCTAGTGGGTTCGGATTACCAATATGACATGTTATTAGGTGCCTGACTAATTGGTAAGCTTTTCTTCTTACCAGGGTAAATAAACACTTTTTACTCAACAGAGACTTTATTTTGCTTAAATGAAACAATTTCTCTGGCTGGGAAAAATTTCACTTTTATTTCTATGGAGCCAGTTTACTCACTGTTGCGGTTGCTTTGCCTCGCCTGTAACACGAAAAGCGAAGCAACTCTAATAAATAAAATAAAAGGCAGTTGAATTGTCTGCCTGCAATGTGGATGTGCATGTTGCAGTTTCCACTCACAAACTCGTTCGATGGGAAGCTTTTTTATTTCGTTTAACTCCCCAGCAGCCACTTTTAGTCCATCCTGCCAAAATCTGTTTTATCCAGAAGAATTTTTATACATTTTTAAATGTATGTATGAGTTAAAGGTATTAGTGGAGAGGAAGATTTTGAATGAATGCTAATATCCATCTTTCTTTTTTTCTTTTACTTATTTTTTAAGGCCCCTTTAATATTTTCATTTTTGTTATTCTTCCTTTTTTCTTTTGTTACTGTCTTTGATAGAATAATAAGAAATCTTTAACTCTGTAATTTGTTTAAGAAGAGTCGTAATCATTTGGATAATTCTTTGCAAATTATTTGCTCTACCCTATTTAAGC